TATATGGATTTAATAAAAGTGACTTGATGTAAGTAAGTTCCCAAGTACTAAAGTTAAGCTCTAGAATAGGCAAAACTTGGAAAATATTCACTAAGAACCAGTGCCTACCTCCTAGCAAAGTTCAAGACACTGTTTTTAAAGATCTTTCAAGTGTTAAGCATATACAAGCTGTTAAGCCAAATTATAACAACATTCCTCAACATGTCAGCAGTGAACACTCCATGAGCTAGCAATAGAGCTGGGGACATGGTTCAGGCAGTAGAGTTTGCTCAGCAAGCACAAAGAAACTGAATTTAAACCCAGAACTCATGTAAAACGCCAGGTACAATAAGTGTCTGCAAACCTGGTGAAACAGAGGTAGCTGATTCCTAGAGTTCACAAGCCAACTTCTCCTAAAAGCCACTATCCTAAAATACTCCTAGAAAAGATGTCTATGGACAGATAAGCTTTGGAAGTGCTCAGTTTATCCACTGTCCCTCCTAGAAGTAATGGGAGCATATAAAATGCCTTGGCCAGGGAGTCACTGTAGAAACACATTTAACCAGAGTTAGGCAAACTTCTTTTTAAAACTATCACAAAACCAGTTACCAAATTTAAACAAGCACTCAGATGTTCAAGGACCTAACCACTTGAAAGTTGAGTTTCCACAGGCTGCCAGAGCCCACCATTCAATCATATACTCCTGAGTTTCAAGCTGACCACTACCCATCTAAAAGCTGACACAGGAAGCCCCATCTGAAACTTCAAGTAGCAAGGAGCTACTTGAAGGCAGAGGATGTGTGATTTCCAAACACAGACAACAGTCATTTTATGTAGTAGGCACAGATAATACTTCTGTAAGCAAATTATATACAAGACAAGGTCATAAATAGCAAATTGGGATTTGGAACTGTATCAGTAGTCTAATGGGGGGAAAAACCTGAGACTTATTCATTTTTAAGGTTTATTTTTTATGTGTATGAGTGTTTGCCGGCATGTATGTATTTATCCTATATGTGCATGTCTGGTGCCCACAGACCAGAAGAGGGTGTAAAATCCTCTAGAACTGGAATTACAGACAGTTGTAAGCTGTCCATTTGTGGGCTGGGAAATGAACCCAGGTCCTTAGCAGAAGCAGCAAAATGCTTTGAACTGTTGAGCCATCTCACCAGTCCTGCGACTTATTCTTTTTTTTTTTTTTTTTGGTTTTTCGAGACAGGGTTTCTCTGTGTAGCTTTGCGCCTTTCCTGGGACTCACTTGGTAGTCCAGGCTGGCCTCGAACTCACAGAGATCCACCTGGCTCTGCCTCCCGAGTGCTGGGATTAAAGGCGTGCGCCACCACTGCCCGGCAGCCTGCGACTTATTCTTAAGTAACTATTTTCTTGCTTTTAATTATTTTTATCATTGACTTCCTATTATATAATTTCAATATCCAAGACACTTACAAATAGCTGATAATCAATGTTTGAGCTGTGACCTAACAAAGTTATAGAGCAATAGCTTCAAAAAAGGTTTAGTGTTTAGTGCTTTAGGTGTGCTACATACTAAAAATCATCCCTAGGTTACAAATTATCTGTTATTTGAGTTGAAGCACTAGCTAGCTGGACAACACTGAATAGAGTTAAATCCCTAGGGACCATCACTATGTAAAGCACAGAACTGACAGACTTCTTTATATTCATATTGCAACAATGAAGGTCTCTTCGTGTAAACTCTATCAATTAGAGGGCTATGTAAAGATTTTCTGCTACTATTTAAACAGTGTGGCAAATGTCAAATGTAACAATATGTCAATTTATCAAAATGTTAGTATCACCTTCAAACCCACACTTAACCACATTAACACAGACTTTTCCTTCATGCCTGTATAGTTACATTATATTCTTATCATGGGCACTAACATATAATCAAATGCTAGACATTAAATGATAATGCTCTGTTATGTTTTATGTATGTATTAAACTTTTTTTGTTTTGTTTTGTTTTTCAAGACAGGGTTTCTCTGTGCAGCTTTGTGCCTTTCCTGGAACTCACTCTGTAGTCCAGGCTGGCCTCGAACTCAGAGATCCGCTTGCCTCTGCTTCCCGAGTGCTGGGATTAAAGGTGTGCGCCACCACCGCCCGGCATATGTATTAAACTTAATTCTCCATAAAGGCTAAACAAAGTTTTACTGTTTCTGTTTTATAGATAGGTCTATCTGTTGTTCGAATCTTAGATGGTCTTATAACTGTTTTAGTTCCTGTTTCCTCACACCTTATATACCTTTCTCCAACCTACTGTCACTTCCTGGGATTAAAAGTGTGTGTGTGTGTGTGTGTGTGTGTGTGTGTGTGTGTGTGTGTGTGTGTGTTTCTCAGTATTGGGATTAAAGGTGTGCCTAGCTACCAGTGCGGCCTTGAACTCAGAGAACCGTCTCCTGAGTGACAGGATTAAGGGTGTGTGCCACCACTGTCTAGCTTCTATGTCTAATCTAGTGGCTGGTTCTGTCCTCTGATCCTCAGGTAAGTTTATTAGGGCACACAATATATCACCACATTTATCTTGTGCCAAAGCTCAGTCTCTCTCATTTTGTTTTTCGAAACAGGGTTTCTCTGTGTTAACAGTCCTGGCTGTCCTGGAACTCACTTTGTAGACCAGGCTGGCCCTGAACTCACAGAGATCAACCTGCCTCTGCCTCCTGAGTGATGAGATTAAAGGCATGCACCATCACTGCCTGGCTAATGGCCAGTCTCCTAACCCCCTCTTTTTTCCTCAGCCCAGCAATCATTTGCTTACCTCTATCTCAGGAGTCTCACACTCTTAAACTATACCAGATCATTCTATCCTCTTAAAATTGAAACAGCACACAAGAAACTTCCTGGACTAATCTTCCTAGTTCCTAAACTGGTGTCATTTTCTCTGACTCTACAAGAAATACTTCAGCTCCAGGTGATCCATCAATACTCAAGCAACAGTTACACTCATGGCTTAAAGATCTATGTGAATGTGCTAGATGCCTTACTTGCCACCTGGATGGACTTTCTGAGCTTCTTTAAGAAGATCTTACATGGCTCAGTCAGTCAATTTGACTACCTAATTCAATCTGTAAGCCTGTAATCCCAGGCAGGATTATCAAGCTCAAAATGCTATTTAAAAAAAAACAAGAAAGAAATATTATCCAATTCAACATTGTGTTTGAAATTTGAATTAAGTGTGCTAAAAAGAGCTCATGAGGGCTACTCAAACTACTTATGACTAGTGGCCCGGATTTGGAATGGCTGTCTAGAAGAGTGTGGAAAACTTGTGCTTTCAAATAAACATACTGCTACGTGGGTATACAGCTTTACAGCACTCCTTGCTTTTACACTACATTGTCTGTTCATGATCTGCCAAAGAATGTAAGTTCCTTCAGAACTGCTCCCTACCCCAATTTATCCCAGAAACTATGTAGGCAGGCACTCACTCACTCTGACAGATTACGTACTGCACACACACACACACACACACACACACACACACACACACACACACACACAGCTATACAGGAAATAAACCCCTAAAGTTCAGGGACAAACTTGGGTTTTGGATTTTTTTGTTTTTGTTTTCAGTTTTTTGTTTTTTCAAAACAGGGTTTCTCTGTGTAGCTTTGTGCCTTTCCTGGAACTCACTTGGTAGCTAGCCCAGGCTGGCCTCGAACTCACAGAGATCCGCCTGGCTCTGCCTCCCGAGTGCTGGGATTAAAGGTGTGTGCCACCACCGCCCGGCCAAACTTGGGTTATATGAAGTTGAAAGCACTAAATTTAGACTTGGAAGTCTAAGTAAGCAATGGGTGTTCCCCCGAAGTTTTATTTTTCGTTCCACTTCCAAAGATTTAGAGTATAAACCACTATTTACCTGTCTACCCAAAGAGACACAAGGACCATTCACAATGAAAATCGCTAAACAGGTAAGACAACGAAATAGAACAGTTTTTCTTCTCAGAGCAGAAGTGGCGCGAGAGAAGGGCGCACTCAATACAGTATAAAAAAACAAAGCCAGTCCAGGGCGCCTCGGGGAGTTGGTCCCAGACAATAGGAGCAACGGTAGAGGCAGGTTTGGGGCTGGGTCAAGCGGGGGGGTGGAGTCTCAGAATCTCAGAAGACACCAGGACAATCGCAACCAGCGCTGGCTGTCCACCTGGAAAGGTGGAATGGATGGCGGAACCTGGCAGGGGGGCCGGGAGGCACCACCGTGTATTGGTAGGGGGTGCCTGGGAAGAGCGCAACAGCTTGCAAGGCTTTTTGGAAGCTATAGCGATGTTGGTCTCTTGATTCCTAAGAGTTGGATGCGCAGGGAATCGTAGAGCCAGGTGCAGACCAGGCTTCCCTAGGGATCGGTGAAGCGTCCGCGGGAGAACCGCAGGCGGTGGACCCGAGGTTGAGCCATGGAGGTGACTTACTTTGAGGAGGCAGCTGTTGAGGGGTGCGGGCACCGAGGTGCGGTGGATCACCAGGTCCTGGCCTGGGTTGTGCACATCGCAGATAAGCTCCAGCACGGCGATGCTGCGGGCCGTGGACACTGACACCCGGTGGTCCTCAGACCAGGCTAGTGGCTCCAAGCCGCTCACCGCGTACTGCAGCTTCACGGCCGGCTCCCGCCGAGTCACCATGAGGCGGAACGCGGCGCTGGGCCCGGGGGCCGCTTCGGTCGCCGGCTCCTTCCCGCCCCCTTCGCCCTCCTCCTCTGGGGACAGCGAGGGCTCTTCAGCCGTGGGCCCCACCCGGGCCTGGTCCGCCTCGCTCATCTTCCTCGGGGCGCAGAGGTCGGGTTCCCCGGTGCACAGAGCCCTCGCCACCGTCCCCCGGCCGCCCCCTGCACCAACGGCGCCGCCCCCAGCACCCTCCGCGGCCGTTCGTTAGCTTCAGGCCCTGAGCGCCACCGAGCCAGAAAGGACCCCGCCGTTGCTAAGCAACGCCACCCTGCTAGGCGGCCACGGAACTGCCTGTATGGAAAGCGCGCTCCGGGCAGGCTGACCCGCGGCGCGCCTGCGGCTGAGAGGAGAAAGTGGGAACTCCGGGGAAGTCCTTTTGCTAGACACTGGGTGCTAGGCCCGACGGAAGAATGAGTCTCGTGTAGGTGACTGAGATGCTGAGAAGACCAGCGTGGCGGCTGAGGAAGACCCCGCCAGGTGGGCGGTGCGCGGCCTCTTCCGGTTTCTGAGGCGTTCGGGCCTCTTGGCTCCGGTCGGTGCGCGCGCTGCCGCGGCTCCCGGACCCGGAAGGGGCGGCGGCGGCGGCGGCGGCCCAGGAATAGCTGCAAACTACTTCATCGTCCACGTGCTGCTCGGGCTTCTGGCTTGGTCCGCATCTCCGCGCCCGGGCCATGGCTACCGCCTGCAGCTCGCTCCCAGACCCGCCTCCCAGGACGTACTTCGGACGCCGCCAGGCTCAGACGAGGCGGGTGAGTTCAACCTCAGCCCGGGAGCCGCGGCGCTGATGATCGGGTTGAGTTCTTCAGGTTGTCTGGAGGGACTGGCGAGAGGCGCTCGGAAACACGTGCGTCAGCCGGGAACCCTGCCTTGGGGACGAGAGCCGGGCGGGCTCCTGGAGCTAGCTGAAGAACTAATTAGATAGGGTTAGGATTGGAGGCTGTAGGAACCGGTCAAGTTCCTGAGGCTAGCTGGTGGTCTAGTCAGATAGGGTAAGGATCGGAGGCTAGGATATATCCAAGCGGGAAAACAATGCCTAAGAAATGACCATCGTGCAGATCTGAACTCCTGAGCCGGTACTTCTAGTGTAAGGAAGGTTCAGTTCTGTTAGGAACGGGGACTGGACTCATTTCTATGAAGAGCTTGTAAAGCGGAGGTTTTCATCCAGGTAGCAGGGAAAGACTATACAGTCATTATAATCTGTTGCCCAGAGAGGAGAGAGGTGACTTAAACGAACCGTATAGGAGCAGAAAGCTGGTTTTAGAGTTGCTGGCTTATCCTCTAGAAAGCTTGTTACGTAGTCTGTTGGAAAATCATATGTGATCAAAGAGCAGGAACCTTGTGATTGGAGGTCTCACACACACCCCCACACCCTAAAGATAATATGTAAGTCCATGGAAGTTGAAAAGCAAATTGCCGGTCAATTCAGATCAACCAATATTTTGAAGATAAACTTCTTTGATTATCTAACACTCACTGCCTAGTTTCACTTTGGTAGAAGGAAGGAGGGACCTTAATACGCTTAGATGCTTAGGAGTAAGGAGTCTTCATCAAGCCATTGGTATAACTGAATCTATGTCTGAGAAATACAGACAAGCCTTGAGGGTAGTGGGGGTGAGGGGGATAGGATTTACGGTAGGATAGACCCCGGCTATTAGATACTAACCTTGTAACACACTAGCCTAAGACCTTGGGAAGTTACATAGTTTCTCCTGTCCGAAAATAGGAACGCTAATTTGTTTCTTATTAGATTGTTTATGAGGCTCCAATGGGATAATACCTACAATAACTCTGTATACTGTCTGGCCCTCAGAGGCAGTTGCTGAGTGCCAGTAATCAAAATGAAAGCAATATTGTTTCCATTTGGGGAAGTAGATGGCTGCATTAGGTCAGCACCATTGGATCAGAGTGGTGCTTGTGTCCGGTGAAGAGCCCAGTAGGAGGATGTCCTTTGCTCACCTAGTATATGCAAGGCTTTTGAGTTCCATCCCCAACTATACAGAAGGAAAATACCAAAGTTTTAGTGAGTAAACAGAGTAAATAGGGTGTTTCAAAAGTGACTGGCTGAGGTCATTGGATCTCTGATTTTGAGACTAGCCTGGTCTACAGAGAGAGTTCCAGGACAGCTAGGGCTACATAGTGAGACCCTCTCTCAAAAAAAAGAAAAAAAAAAAAAAAGGCAGAAGAAGAAAAGGTAATAAGGCCAGTGAGAGTCTCGGAGGGTAAAGGTGCTTGCTGCCAAGCCTGATGACCTGAATTTAGTCTCAAGGACTCAACATAAAGGTGGAGGGAGAGAAACAGCACCTCATAGTTATCCTATGACCTCCACATGCTGGCCATGACATATATGCTTACACACACAAACCAATAAACAAGATGCTGCAGGTATCTATCGAGGCCTGACTGCATCTGTGCTTCGGTTTATGTATCCAAATGGGAGTGGAAGCTGGTGCTGAGCAGATTTGGTCAGAGTGGGAACTCAGGGCGGATAGCTAATACACTGGATTTGGAAGGACCTTTACAGCTTAAATTGGGTTTCTCTGTCTTCATACTGTGCAAAACTTTTTTTCTTAAGGATGTTTTCCTTGTTATTAAAGTAATACAATTTTGTTTAAGAAAAATTAGAAGATACAACCCCACCTATAGTCACATACCCAGAAATAACTTAACATTTTGATATATAGCCTTCAAAAACCTTAACTATGATATTTTTCTAACCAAATAGGGTATAGTTAATCAAGCATCTCAGCATTATTTTCATGGAAGAGCATGGTACATTTTGGGAATTTAAGAAAAACTGGCAAAAGGTAAAGGTGAACCTGAAGCTGAGAAGATGGGTAGAGGTTGTATTCTGGAGGCTTCCTAGATCTCCCTGCAGATTAGCCTAACAGCGGTGAAGAACCTGCTTCTTGAGTTCACTCCAAGCACTTGTTTTGTTTGTTTGTGGCAGGGTCTCACTCTACAGCCCGGTGTCCTGGAACTCACTTTGTGGTCTAGGCTGGCCTCAACTCAGCAGTCGTCCTGCCTTAGTCTCCTGAGTGCTGGGCTTGTATGTGAGAGCCACCTTGCTAGCTTCTGATACTTGCTTTTAGAGAGACCTTGACTCACCCGTAAAGGGTGGGTAGGATGCTGTGGTGTCTAGGGTCTGTGTACTGCCTGGTATGTTTAGTCCAAAGAAGGGAAAACAAAAGGTGTGTAAAGGAAGCCATAAGATTGCTCCGCTTTGCTGCAGCAGCATTCTTCAGACTGGTACCTGGATCCTCAAGGAGGCAGGTCTTGTCTTAGTAGAAAAGCTTCCTGAACCTGAGATTGGCCTGCGACCCTTTAATACAGTTTCTCATGTGGTGACCCCCCAACCATAGAATTATTTTGTTGCTACTTCATAACTATAATTTTGTTACTGTTATGAATCGAAATGTAAATATCTGATATGGAGGATATCTGATATGTGACCCCTGTGAAAGGGTTGTTTGACCCCGGAGTTGTGACCAGAAGGTTGAGAACCACTGCTCTGGGGAAAGCTTGGGCACCATGCATTTAATTACATTTGTGTGTTGTGAGAATAAGCAACAGGCAAGAAGTGCCTAATGGTGTATGTCTATGATCAGCAGTCAGGCAGGGACTCTGAAGCGAGGAGGGTTGGAAACAATACGATGGAAGTGATGGATGGAGCGGCACTCTCATTTGGAGTGGGGATGGCAAGTAGGAACTGACTCCAGACCATCTGAATCTGAGCAGCTTGAGGGGAGAGGATGACAGATCCAAGCCCTAGGGAAGAACAGTAATGACAGTTTCCGCTTCCTGGGCATGAGCTAGGATTCAGCCTCCCATTCGCTTCTTCATTCTCTTCTTACCATCCTTTATTGGTAGAAAAGAGCAGATTTCATTTCCCTGTGTGCCTCTGTGCTCACACAAAACGGGCTCGTAGGGGTGTGGTTTGACTAGTAAGCATGTGTGCTTCCTAAGATAGGTTCTTGCTTCCCTTAGAATAGACTGAATTGGTTAATGTCAGCTGGCAGGACACTTCTCTCTTCCTGATCCTCACTCTCATCTTGGGTGACTTAACAGTTTAGATGGATGGAGGTCTTGTGGATGAATGGACTGAGATTGTCTCTCCCCTCCTCCACCCCCCCATTTCAGACGAAGCCAGAGTCTGGTTGTAAACCCTAAACTGATGGTTGGCATATGGGGCATAATGATCTCTGCAGGAAGAGATACATTCTGTGGGCAGTCAGGCTTCACTCTGAGGATTGTCTTCATGGACTAATGCACCTCTTCTTGATCTTTCCTTTGGGGAACAACGTAGCAAACAGAGGCTACCAAGAGAAAGCACCAAGTGTCCAGTGATGCTCCACCAACAAAACGGAGGAAGGAAGCATCCTCTCTTTCAGCCAAGAAAACCAGTGATAAAGAAACTCCAAGAACATTTAAGGGAGGTGCGCACAAAACGTTTCCTCCAAAGAAGTCCTTGAACAGTATAGGCAATGGAAGACAAGAGAGGCCATGCATCAAGACTTCGTCTCTGTTTAAAAACAATCCTGAGATCCCAGAACTCCGCAGGTGTGTCTTGCAGTGCAGGTGTGCCTTGGGTTTGAGCAGTCACGGATGCCGCCTTTTCCTTTGCCACCTTGGCACTGATGCATACTTTGTCTTTCCTCTGCAGAGCTGTAGTGAAGCAGGCTCGAGAGCAAGTGTTCTCTCCAGAAGCTTTCCAGGAGCTGGACCTCCACCCACACCTAGTAAGTATCGCAGCCCCTCTGGTGGTCTGGTTCTTGTTCAGTCTGTGTCTGCCCTTGGCTACCGGAGTGAACTCAGGTGATGGGCTCCCTGATGGCAGCACGGGTTGCCGTCTCACTTTCCTTTCTCTCCCCTGTGATTTTTAACAAGTGCTGACTTTCCTCACCCAGTTTAGTTTCTGTTCCAGACTTCATTTATCCGGCTTAAAGCAGCTTTCTAATTACTGGGAGATGTGGTGAAACTGGTGGCCGATGTCTCTGTGGCCTTGGGAAGGGAGCTAAGCTGGCTCTTACTGTCAAGGGTCATGCACATTTTTGGAGAATGAAGGTAGAAAAGGCTGCTTAAAGTGTGTTTTCAGTGAGCAAATGGGCATCTTACTTCCCCCCTTTGTTTAATGCCAGGAGTGAGTTTCCTAGTTATGTGAAAAAGGAGAGACAAACACCTTCCCTTGCAAGCCTGGATTCCCTTGTCAGCTGGGCACCATTGGCCTCTTCTTTCTGGTGGGCCGTGTAGGATTGATTCTCAGCCTGAGCGTTGTGGCTCAGGTGTGTGGGGTTAGGTGATGGGTTGTGAGGCTTGCCTTGTGCATTGTCAGTTTGTAATAGGACCCTAATTCTACAAATTAGGAACCCAGCTCTAAGAACCCCAAGTCCTCCAGATTGTGTAGGGTAGAGGGCAGAACTACCCTCCAGTTGGAAATCCTGGGCTAGTGGAGTTTAGTTTGGTCATAAACGTCAAGTGCTGTTGTCACTCCAGCATTTTGTCTTTATGTCATTGAATATATTTGCATTAAATTGATAAATACTTTCTTTCCTATTCTCTTTTAGATATCCACAATAAATACAGTCTTAAAAATGTCAACTATGACCAGGTAAGAGGCTAAGGCTATTCTTGATTTTTCTTAGGGTTTCGTGAGTGTATACAAATGAAATCTCAATTGTCCATGGAGGACAGAGCACATTTGTGGAACAGCACAAACTGCTGGAGGGCTTGACATAGCCTGTGGGGCTCCCCACCTGCTTGTAGGCAGACCGGGTTCCTTTCCATTTCTGCACTCAGCTCCCTACTGCAAGACAGCTGGGTTAGGACATCTGCCATCAGGGCGTCTCTGAAAATGACTTGGGCCAAAATACAGTATTTGATCATGTTAGTTCTTAGCAATACAAATAAGGTCAGTCAGAAAATGGGAGTAAATTTTGCTTGGGTATAGTGGGATACTGAAAAGGTATCCTAAATGCTTGCTGACTGGAGACACTTTTAAAAGAGAAATTCAGAGTTAAAGTGTGAGCAGTGAGCTGTATAGTCACAGTTCACTTTGCATAAGTAAGAAGCAAGAGTACAGAAGAATAAAGAACACCAGCTTTTCCATTGTGTTTTGCTTTTGTTTTTGAGACAGTCTTAGAGCCCAGCTCAGCTGGCTCAAACTTATTTTCCTCTTGTCTCAGCTTCCCAAATGTCAGGATTAAAGGCATATGCACCATGCCTGGCTTGGTTTTCTTGTTGGCGCAACCAAATTTAAATGAGTTCTCTGTCCATTTTGGACTTGGGATTTAATGTACGTGTTGACAGTGTTCTCAGTATGTGTGACAATTTTTCAGAGGGAGCTGCTGTTGCTACTTGGGTGACCTGCAAGCCTCATTTTGCTTTTCTGTTTGGAAATCTTGCCTGTGTTACATGTTGCCAATCACATGTCACACAACAGGCAGGAAGGTGTGTAGTATACTTTATGAGAGTGACTCTGATTTGTTGGTATGCCCAATTTTTTTTTCAAGACAAGGTTTCTCTGTGTAGTCCTGGCTGTCCTGGAACTCGCTTTGTAGACCAGGCTGACCTCAAACTCAGAAATTCGCCTGCCTCTGCCTCCTGAGTGATGGAATTAAAGGCGTGCACCACTGTGCCCTGACAATTTTTTTTTTTTAATTTTTAATATTGCAGCCAATCTCTAGCTTGCTTCCCTACTTTCAGTCAAGTTCCAGGAGTTTAAAAAGTTAATTTGGATCACCAGAATGTTCTCAGCACTTTCTCTCAATGAAGTAGGCAGAGCCAAACACAGGGTATTTGTATGTCAAGTAAACCGTGTCTGCATGCATGACTGAGCTGTGTGATAAAGAAAAGGTGTGTTCTCTCTTTTGGGTGCCCCAGTGTTCAGAAGCAGAGTATCCCAGTGCTGCTGGAAGGCAGAGATGCCCTTCTGCGGTCCCAGACGGGCTCAGGTCAGTTGCTGATTACCCTGCCCCTTATTCCATGGCACCTAGCCCATCATCATGGGCTAGGCTCTTCAGGGATGTGTCTGTGGTGGCAGAGTCGGTTTTGTCTTGTCTGGGGAGGGTGGCCATGCTTGCTTTTGATGGGAGGCCTGAAGTTGTTACAGATGAAGGAAGGTGGTGATGCTGCTGTTGTCAGTAGTGATGGGTGGGTATTCATAGTTGAGCTCTGCTGCTTTCTATGTGTCTGCTGCCAGAGTGGCCAGTCAGTCTTCACTCTGGATGGAGTTAATGTTTATGGCTTGAAAGCAGTTCTGGCCTGAGCACAGTCGATGTCAGGGATAGACCATTTTCTCCCTAGTCTACTCTTCTGATCCACTCTTGCCTTCTTGCCAGCTGAGCCATGTTGAGGAGCCCACAGCTTCCTTTAATCTTTCTCTGTCTTCAGGGGCTGGCTTGGCTTCACACTTGGCACACCAGCACTACAGAAGCTGTTTAGCCAAGGGGAGAACCTCAGAGCAGCCATCTCCTAGCTTCCACAGACGACTGTCAGGCTGAGCTTGTGTCTAATTTGAGAAACATCATTACCTCCCTTGTTGATGACCTAAGGAGCTGAAGCTTCAGGGATTTTTGAAGTACTAAATTACAAAGCAAAGTTAGGAGTCGTGGCAGACAGGTGAAGTGCCTCTTAGATGTAGAGCATGCAGTTTACCTTCTCCCAGATGTAGCATTATTTACAGAAAGCAGAGCCTATTTGCATCCCCACTGATGTCACTCTCTTTTAAAAGGTAAAACTCTTGCCTATTGCATCCCTGTGGTCCAGTCCCTTCAAGCACTGACATCAAAAATACAGGTGAGCAGAAAATGTATTTCTTTACTGTGCTCTGTTGTGCCCATGCTGCTGAAATGTGGTGGTAATACTAGAGTTGTAGACTGTCTGCACATGGCATTGTTTTTTCTCTCTTCCTATCGAATCAAATGTGAGCTTGCCAAGAGTGGAGTGGAATAAACACTACAGTCACCACTGTCTATGTGTAGGGCATGTGGGTAGAAGGCGGCTTCCAGTGTGCCAGATGTGCCAACTGCTGTTCACATGTCACTTTCTTGACTCCCCATCCTCTGCCATGAAGTTATGGGGGTTACTACGATCCTAGTGGTATAGGCAAGTAAAATAGCCAAGGCCACATAGAAGTACCGGTGGGCATAGATTCCCACCTCATTTCTGTGACTGTCATCTGGGCCATGATTTGTGGTGAAGCTTTGTTGCTAGCTCCTGCCCTGTTTGGGGGCCTTCCCCTTTGTCTTACACAGTACCCAGCATTGGACCTCCTACAGGATTACTAGTAGGGAAATACTCTAACATGCTTTGATTGGCCCCTGTCCATATATTCTCATATCTTGAGCATCTGTTGTACATCATGCGGAATTAATTTACAACCTTACAGGTTAGTGTGTTTACTTTTGAATGAGGAGAGCATTTGTATTTAGCATGGACTTTGTATTTAACATGGTGGTTTATCAGTCCTGGCTTTGGAAATCAGTGCCAATCAGTGGGTTTAGCAGTCAGGCTGCTACATAGTCAGCATTACCTAGAATTTGTTCTTAGTTGTGAAACATGGTTAATGCCTGGTTAAAGACTAGCTAACATTGGATTGAGAAGTCCAGTTGGCTGCTGTAAGTGTGGGCACAGACTTCATCTTCTAGCCCAAACTTTCTCACAGGTGCAGTGCCCATTACTTTCCCGTGAGAGACAATGGTGAGATCAGAAATAGGGTGTTGGGTGAGTACTCACTGACAGAGGTCTCACTTCAAACCTAACTGATCGGCACGCAGTAGCGTGCTGTTGCATTGTAGAGCAGCAGATCCTTAGGTAAATGACTGAATCAATAACTAGAAGAGAATTGGGGAACTGAAATAGCCACACTTGGCATGGATCATCAGAGTCTGAAGTGAGCAGTTGCCAGTAAGATGAGAAATGGTGTCTCTGTGGCCTTCAGGTGTCCACACAGGAACTTCTGAACAGATGGGAAAGACGGTAACTGTAACAGGAAGCCCCGGCCGCCACTCCTTAGCCAGTCTTAAGAAGGACATGTTATTTGTGTGGTTTGTTTTTGTTGTTGTTGTTGTTTGCCTAAAGTGAATTTAATCTCAAGGAAACATGAGACAAAACCAATTAAAGGGTGCTCTGCGAAAATTCCTGGCCGGCAGTCTTTGAGAATGTTGATGGCATAAAAGAAAAATACTGAAGAATTGTCCCAGACAGAGCCTGACAAAGGAAGCATGGCGGTGACACACGCGGGGTCAGGGTGAACACTTCACCTAGAGGTCACTTGATGAGATTTGAACGAGGGCTGTGGGTGAAGAGTGAGTCGGTGCTCATTTCCTGGTTTTGCTAATTATTCTGTAGTTTGAACGATGATACATAGAAATTGAGACTGTCAGAGTTAATTGTATAACTTGTCCATTTCCCCTTTTTTTGTAAAAGCCTGAGCTTTCAAAATGAATAGGTTACAATTTGTTTAAAAGTGGAGTTTATAACTTTGTAGATTTGAACACGTGTTCCTGCTGTGTTAGCTGAAGAAATGCAGGCTGCAGAGCTGCATGCTGTGACTGCGCTTTCACAAGTGATGGTTTGTCCTGTGGCTCATAGCCAACTGGGATGACAGTAGTAGTAAATTGTGGGCTTCTTTGTCACTTGAGAATGGGTCTCATGCAGCTAAACTTGGCTCTTGATCTTCCTGCCTCTGTCTTCCAAGTACTACCATTGTGGACATGTGCCACCATGTCTTTCTTGGCAATTTTTAAAATTAAATATTTTATCTAATATATTATATCTTACATGCATATAATGTTTGGATCTGGTTTTTCCTCTGTGCCCCCTACTTTTACCTCCCAACCTCCCCCCTCAAATCTAATGTCCATTTAGTGCTTTCTGTGTGTGTGTGTGTGTGTGTGTGTGTACACCTATGTGCTGATTGTTTTTTGTCTACTTGACTCAAACCTAGACGTATCTGGGAAGAAGGAATCTCAGTAGAGGAATTGCTTCCATCAGATTAGCCTGTGGGCAAGTTTCTGGGGCACTGTCTTGATTAGTTATTGACATGAGTGAACTCAGCCCACTTGTTGGTGCCAACCCTAGATAGGTGGTCCTGGGTGCTGTAAGAAAGGAAGCTGAGCAAACCACGAGGAACATTCCTCTATGGCCTCTGCGTCAATTCCTGCCTCCAGGTTCCTCCCTTGACTTCATTTCATGGTGGACTGTAAATTAAGCCAACTTGTTTTTGTTGGTGTTTTTTATCACAGCAGTAGAAAGGAAACTAAGAGACTGTATATGAGTATGGGTCAGCAAATTGTTAAGTTTTTCTCTGAGCTAGGTAAGTGAGGAATTCTATTTTCTAAGGGTAAATGACTTTCCCCCACTAAGAACTTTACGGAGAGCCGATTCATATACAGTGCATAGCCTTGTCCCTAGCATGTAGTCAGAGAAGAATGAATATAACTTGCTAATATTTGTGGCCAAATCTCACCCTTAAGATTCTAGGATACCTTTCCAGTAAAGGGGTTTTTGTATTTCTTTATAACAAGTTGTAGAGTTTGACAATATTTGAGCTGGAGTGATTCTTAAAGTTGGAGCCCAGCTCTTATAGATGGTGAACTGAGAGCAAGAGATTCGATGATGTACAACATCAGGCAGGTGGGAGACTCTGCTCAACCCTGGCCTGAGAGGTGGCCCAGGGCTTGTGCCTGTTTAGTTCACATTCTCTCCTGCCCCAAGTACAACTGGGCAGATCCTTTTATGCCTTTGTTCCCAGGGTTATGACAAGACAGAGTGAGGTGCTCATGTGATGTGTTGAGACCTAGCATCTGGAGTTGGTCACTAGGTATTAGCTGTCATCATCAACACTGTCATGTGGCCATTTCAAACAACAATGATTGGTTCTGCTTATATTCAGAATGATTAATAATAGGCCGTGTGGTTGTGTATTTGCTCAACGTCACTAAGACCAAAGATTGAACTGTTCTGTAAAAAAACGGTTTTCCAAGCTGGGCATGGTGGCGCACGACTTTAATCCCAGTACTCCAGAGGCAGAGGCAGGCGGATCTCTGGAGTTTGAGGCTAACTGCTCTGCAAAGTGAGTTCTAGAATAGCTAAGACTGTTACACAGAGAAACCCTGTCTCAAAAAAACAAAATAAAAAAATAAAAACAAATAAATAAACCATAAACAAAAAATGGTTTTCCAAACTGAACATGGAGACACATTTCTGTACTTCCAACACTTGGAAGGATGGTAGTTAAAAGACAGCTTGACCTATACAGTCAAGACCCTGTCTCAAAAAAAAGAAAAACAAGTTTTTATAAGCTCCAATTTGAAGATTTACATATTTCATTGTATGTGTATGGGTGTTTTGTCTGCATGTATGAATGCCTGGTTCCTGTGGAGGTCAGAAGAGGGTGTCAGATCCCCGGAACTAGGATTACAGTGAGCCACCTTGTGTGCACAGGGTGTGTGTGTGTGTGTGTGTGTGTGTGTGTGTGTGTGTGTGTGTGTCTGTCTGTCTGTCTGTCTGTCTGCCTGCCTGCAAGAGTAGCAAGCCTCTTAACTGCTAAGCCATCTATCCCCTGTAAGGCTCAATTTAATTCACTTTTTCTAGTTGTATTCAGTGTAGCCCCTTGTAATTCATCATAAAATGATGTGACCTAGAAGCCATAAGCAGCTAGTCCTGGACCCTGGCCTGTTCCCAGCCAAGGGGCTGGCGTGGAGTAGGCACCTTTAGTGTCTGCTCTCTCCCCGTTATTTTGGCTTTGGCTCTGATATTTAACATCACATCCATCCTGCTTCACGCATCCTCACGCCCTGTGAGGAATTGATGTTTCTTTCTTCTTGTCTGTGTAGTAACACCTTTTGAAATGTCAGAGTCTCCTATCATCACATGGTGGCACATTAATCCTGTTGTACTAGCATGTTTACCGTTCCTCGCTGGGGCTCCAGTACAGTCTCACAAAGTTGGTGCTGAGTATAGACTACTCTGGTTTGAATTCTAAATCCTCCTCTCCTGAGTAAATGTTTCCAATGCAGAACATGAGAACCAGACTCTAATTGGATTTGCTGCTGAGCCCATCCTTCACTCTCGAAAGTTGCTCGTCATGCCCTCTGAGCCCTTGATGAGAAAGGCACCATTGACATAGTACCTTCTCTACATTGCTTTGGATTTTTATTATTGCTGTTTAGATACAACATGTCTTAAAAAGTAAAATATTCAAAGAATTCCAAGGATCTGTAGGGTGGAAACAAAGCCTCAACTTCTCCAGAGGTTCAGTATGCCTCCTGACACAAGGGTGTCTCTTTCCAGGGACAGCCTGTCATATCCATCAAACAGGACTGACCGCATACTTCCTCTTTGCCCTTTTATGTGGAGTCATTTCTTTCTGTGTTGTGCTGAGGACACAGACGTTTATATGATGTCATTTGCCCTTTTGATCCAGGGTGTGGTCAAAGCCACCCTTACTCTGTCCTCCTGGGATTGCAGTTGCGCTGTCCTTGTCGTGCCTTGGCTGGTTTCTCACTGTGCCACACTGGCCTGCCGTGGTTGTACTTGCTTGCTTGTATTGCTGCTTTGTGACAGGGTCTCTTTTAGCTCAGATCCCTGCCTCTCCCTCTGCTTCCCATTGTGTTTGTGCCATAAATACTGAGCCATGGCTGTATTGGCGAGTGGCATTTAGACATTATGTCCAGAAAACAACACATTTGTGAAATAGTCTCTAGCTCCTTTACACACATGTGGACATGTAGGAATAATTCCTGGAAGTGGGATTTGTAGTTGTGTTTTAATAGCTAATGCCAAAGTTGATCTGTTAAGGGTTTTACCAGTGTGTGCCTGCCAGCAGTGTGGTATTTGGTTGGCCATGCCCGGCCAGCTGCTTTACAAGTCTTTCTGTATGTGATTTTATCCCAGACCCCAGTTGCTATTGTGACCTCTGCGTGCCAGTGCTACCTTGTGACTGCTGCAGGTTACTTCATGGGGGATATGTTTCCAACAAATATCTCAGTGGCTTTTGCACTTTTAAAGATGCTTACCTTGGAATTGTCTGTGTGCAGCTCTGCTGCCCACATTCCCTCTGGCATTTGTTAGAACTGCATTACAATCCTGAACTCATTTAGGGAGCAGTCACTATGAAATTGAATCTTCTCTAAGGAGAAGGTATATCTTTCCTTTAAAAAAAAAAAAATGTGCCCTTCAGATATGTTTTAATTATTCTTCATATAGATTTGAGAATTTTCTTTTTTTTTTTTAAAGTTTCTCCCTGTGTGGTCCAGGCCTGCCACAGACTCAGGTCCCTCTCCTCAGCTTCCTACATAAACATCAACCATCATGCCTCATAGATTTCACATCTAATATTTGTAACTTTTGTTGTTGTTATTGCCATTGGGTGAAGTTGTCTGTTCATTACATTTTCTAATATTTTTGTTTGTTTGTTTGTTTTTGTTGTTGTTATTTTACATTTTGAGACAGGGTTTCTGTGTTGCCCTGGCTGTCCTGGAATTCACTCTGTAGACCAGGATGGCCTCAGACTCAGAAATCTGCCTGCCTCTGACTCCCAAGTGATGAGTTTAAAGGCGTACACCATCACCACCTGGCTACATTTTCTATTTTCTTATATTGGAAGACATTGAATTTTGGTTGGTTTTCCTTTATTTTATTTATTTATTTTTCCCTTTGAGATAGAGTCTTGAAACATAATCCTGGAGGGCTTAGGATTCACTCTCCTGCTGCACTGCTCTGGCTTCCTGAATGCTATGAAGGAATGTAGGTGTATGCTACTACACCTGACCCGGCTTCTTGTTGGTTTTGGAGACAGGGTCTTGCTATGTAGCCCTGGCTGACCTGGAACTCACTATACTGACCAGACTAGCCTCAAAATCAGAGATCTGCCTGCCTCTGACTCCCAAGTGATGAGTTTAAAGGTGTGCTCCACCATGCCTCACTTAGCATTTTTGGTTTTTTGTTGTTTGTTTTTTGTTTGTTTTTGTTTTTCAATACAGGGTTTCTCTGTGTAGTTTTGGTGCCTGTCCTGGATCTTGCTCTGTAGACTAGGCTGGCCTCAAACTCACAGAGATCCACCTGGCTCTGTCTCCCCAGTACTGGGATTAAAGGTGTGTGCCACCACCGCCGCCGGCACCGGCTAGGTTTTTGTTTTTAAGTGTTGTATATTTTATCTGCATATGCGCTTGTACATCATGTGTGTCGTTGTCTGTAGAGGCTAGAAGAGCATCTTGGATCCCTTGGAACTAGAGTTATAGACAGTTGTGAGCCATCATGTGGGTGCTGGGAACTGAATCCTGGTCCTCTGGAGAGCAGCCAGTGCTCTTGACCACTGAGTTATCTCTCCAGTTCCCATTGGCTATTGATTTTTATGTTTTGCATTCAGCTACTTAACTGAAATTCCTTACTGATTGTGTTATAGTTTCCCCCATCTAAGATAAACTAACATCATCTTCTTGTGATTATAATTTTGTTTTCCATTTTCCAGTTCTGTACACATTTCTTCCTCCTATTCAATAGAGTGGGGCACAGTAGTCTGTCATCATAGGTGTAGCGGGCTTTCTTTCTTTTTTTAAAAAACATTTTCAATATTTATTTTTATTTTATGTGCATGGGTGTGTTGGCTGTATGTCTGTGTACTATCTCTTGTGTGCCGTATGTGTTCAGTGCCCACAAAGGTCAGAAGAAGGTGATAGATCCCCTTAGATCTGGAATTATAGACAGTTGTTAGCTGTCATGTAGGTGGTGGGTATTGAACCGGATCCTCTGGAAGAGCAGTTAGTGCTCTTAACCACTGAGCCATCTCTCCAGCCCCCTGTAACCGGCATTCTTGTCTCCTCCTTTTCTTTTGTATGTTTCTGATGATTTTCGCTAGCCACACATAAATCTCCTCTGTCACAGTTTGACCTTCGTTGGTCCTCCTCATGAAATTTCTTTCCTTCCTTCCTTCCTTCCTTCCTTCCTTCCTTCCTTCCTTCCTTCCTTCCTTCCTTCCTTCCTCCCTCCCTCCCTCCTTCCATCTTTCCTTTGAGACAGGATCTCATATAGTTCAAGCTGGCCTGGAACTGAAAACGTAGAACTCTCCTACCTCGGCCTGTACCTGGCACTCTCCTCATTGGCATTTCCTTTTCTCTCAACAGCGCAGTGACGGCCCCTATGCTTTGGTCCTAGTGCCCACCAGAGAGGTAAGCAGCTGGCTTGTAGGGGAGGTTTGTGTGTGCACGGTGATGGCCTGTTGACCTGAAGTGCTTTCCCCACTCCCTTCCCTGCTGAACAGGCCACTGTGCATGCTTTCCCTCACATTTCCTCCCGGGAACCATTCTGCTGATTGCTGTCAAGGGGGAAGGTTTAAGTGCTCTTTATGAGACATTATGAGCTAGGTATGAGAAGACATTTCTTCATTGTCTAAAAAACTAGTGATACTTAAATTAATGACCCTTCAGAAGGAATTAAAAGAACTGGTTTTTTTGTTTTGTGTTTTTTGTTTTTTTTTTTTTGAAATAGCCTTTCTCTCTGGAACTCACCCTATAGACCAGGCTGTCCTTGAACTCACAGAGATACACCTGCCTCTGTCTCCCGAGTGCTGAGATTAAAGGTGTGGGCCACCACTGCTTGGCAAAGAATTGCATTTTTGTACTTTAAATATTTTTTAAAAAGTAACTGAAAACATTTGGATATAAAACTGAACTCTTTTTTTTTTTTAAATGAAGCTACTGCTGCTATTAATTCTTACTTCTTCATGAACATTAAGTAGAAATCACCTCTCTCCACAGAGGCGATTTCAAATGTCTCCATGGAGAACTTACAGGAAAATGGAAATTTCTTGACAGCTTTTCTTTCTTTCAAGATTTTTTTTTAAATTTTCATATGTATCAGTGTTTTGCCTGTGAACCACATGTGTGCAGAGTCCATGGAGGCCAGAAGAGAGTGTCAGATCCCTGAAACTGAGGTTAGAAGTGATTTTGAGCCACTGTGAGTGCTAGGAACTGAATCTGGGTCCTCTGCAAGAGCACCAAGTGCTCTTAACTGCTGAGCCAGCCCCTCTGGTCAGCCTTTCATACAGCCTGCTCTGTCCTTTCTCTACTCTGTCCCAGGAAGGAGCACACTCAGGGAGGCACATTGAAATGTTTTCAGCAGCAAGCTTGTCACTTTGCTGGAATGCCACGCACACTAAACATGTGGGGACAACACATAACCTTGGACAGGATTCTGTACGGGCTATTTTGATGGTGTTTAATGACTGCCACCTACATTAATTTTACTTGTCCTATATCCATTGGGTTCCCTGGATTTGTTTTGTAAACTTAGGAGTGATCACCTCTATCTTCAGATAGCCTGCTGCAGTCTTAAGACATGGATGGCCAAGTTCCCTAAGTGCCTGTCAGGCCACTGTTCTAGACTTGAACTTCTCTGTGTGACACTTTGGGAATTTGAGCCAGCAGAGGGAGCACAAAACACTATTTTTTGTATGTGTAAGAAATATATGTGATGTCTTCACCCTCATACCCTAAACTGACAGATTCCAAAGCCTGTTTGAGAAGAGAGTATTTTCAGGGCGGATTCTCTATGTAGGATTACTTGCCCTAAGCCTTGAGGTCTAGGGTTGTACCCTGATCAGTTTAGATGGTCTTTTCTTAAAAAGTATAAAAAGGAAGCAAGGGCCCTGCTCACTGTCTCCACCTTTTAACACTTACAGCTGGCTCTGCAAAGCTTTGACACCATCCAGAAGCTGCTCAAGGTAAGCGAAGCCGTGAGGCAGTGCTGTCTTCCTTCCTGACACGGGGAGAAGAGCCGTGTGGCACGGGCTCGGTTTCCAGAAAGTGAGAATGGCTCCTGTCTCATCCTCCCAGTGTGCCTCGGGGCTCCCTAAGAGCAGCTGGTAGGTTTCACTGGCAGACCTCAATAACTGTTTGGGTTTTTTGAGACAGGGTTTCTCTCTGTAGCCCTGGCTGCCCTGGACCTCACTCTGTAGACCAAGCTGGCCTTGAACTTAGAAATCAGTCTGCCTCTGCCTCCCGAGTGCTAGGACTAAAGGCATGCACCACCACCGCCCATCTAATAACTCTGGCTATTAGTTGCTAGAGGTTAAGTGTTAATTGTTGGTGCACTTGACTTGAAGTGACTTAGAGGCCCAACCCTCAGATAACCAGTGGAAAGCAGCAAGAGCTTGTAAGGACGTTCAGGAGAGAGAAGACAGCCAAGCCAAGGTTCAGTGCCCACAAAAGTTGACCGGGAGTCTGTTTTTCCTTTCTGTCCTCTAGTAGTGAGTGGGGAGTGCATTGCTTAGTACCCCCCTTGCAAAACAGTGAGCTTACCTGAAATATATTTTCTATTTGGACACCATGAGGAAAAACATTGCGGGCTGGAGGACTACTTAGATTTTTTACAAGCTCACATTTGTCTTGACAGTACTTCTGGTCTAGCACTGCAGCTATTGATGCCAGGTAACTCAGTGCCACCAGACTGCATTTTGCAGAAACTCCTCACACATTGTAAAGCCCAAGTGCTCCCTGCTGCACACGGGCTTATGCTAGGAACTTAGGATCAGCTCTGCTTCTAGGAGAGGGGCTTGCTTTATGTTGATTGTGGTCTGGTATTTTTGTGTAGCCATTCACCTGGATTGTTCCTGGAGTGTTGATGGGCGGAGAGAAGAGGAAATCAGAAAAGGCTAGGTAGGAGGAAATGGGTTTGTGTATTCCTCTTGGAGTTTTTTCTGCTGTCTTGTTCAGTAACACTTGGTTCTTTGGCAGGCAAGAGAGCCTCCTCTGCTACTGTGTCTCCTGGTCCCCACATACAGAGACAGGCCAGCTCAGCAGTCACCTCGAGACAGTGCTGTTTATCTCAGATTCCCTTCTGATATAGTTAGTGACAGTGCTGTAACCTGCTTAACCCACCCACTGGGGCCCCACAGGGCACTTGTTTGGTGTGCACCCCTGCATGTGACTCCCTTTGGTGCATATTGAGAACTGGTTTTGCTGTTTAGATTTGTAAAAATAAGAAGATAGGTGGGGACTTCTGGCCTGCATCTGTAATCCCAACACTGGGAAGCTGAGGCAGGAGATCAGGAGTTTCGAGGCTAGCTTCAGCTACATACTGGGTTCAGGACTAGCCTGAGCTACATTGAGATTCTGTCTTCAAAACCAACAGCAACAACAAGCAGAATGATAATTTCCTTAATGCTTAGCACAACCTTAGTGCCTTGATTCTCAGTTCTGCACTGGAACTTGCAATGGATGTCATTAGAAAATTGTTAGATGGGCCAGGTGGTTGTGGCGCACGCCTTTAATCCCAGCACTCGGGAAGCAGAGCCAGGTGGATCTCTGTGAGTTCGAGGCCAGCCTGGTCTACAGAGCGAGATCCAAGATAGGCACCAAACTACACAGAGAAACCTTGTCTTGAAAAAACAAAACAAAAAAAAAAAAAAAGAAAGAAAGAAAAGAAAATTGTTAGATGGGTAAATAGCACTTTAGCTCTTTGAATTGTCTGTAACTTGAGAGTGAACATAAAGCGTGACACTTAAGGACGTTGGTCAGGTTGGACTCAGCTGTAAACAACAGCAATAGGGGCCAGGTTGTGGCTTCTCCATCTTTTTGTGTCCCTGTGGAGCCTTCCATTTACAAGGGTTCCTCATAGCCTTGGATCATGGCCAGAGCTTCAGCCATTGTACTTTAGTTTCCTGCTGGAAGTGACAAAAATTGTCATAGACCCTCTGTCCAAAGGTACATATGTTGTTGCACACTCTTTATCCTTTATTCCATAGCCAAAGCGTAGGCGGTTGCCACACTTGACTGAAAACAAGAAAACCTAGCCAAGCAAGATTGTGTTCAGTCTTCTGCTGTAGAATAATGGGATTATGGCTGTTTGCGGAACAGGAAAGTTAATCATTTTTTTAAAGAACGGGAAGGATATGCTAAGGGAAGTTTGGAGGGGAGAGGGAATGGAGAGTGGGGGTTGGGTATGACTAAGATACATTGTATATATCCTTAAATTAGCCAAGAATAAGTTTAAAAAGAAGAAAGCTTTAGTCTACATCATCTATGAGGCAAAGCTCATACCCATTTTATGACAGCTACCCAGAGGGCCCAATGTGAGAAAAACATCCTAACAAAATGTATGTCTTAACAGTCAGAATGTGTGTCCTCACAAACAGTCAGAATGTGTGTCCTCACAAACAGTCAGAATGTGTGTCCTAACAGATATATATATATATCTGTTCACCTGGTTCTCTGGTACAGAGGCCTTAAAGAACTGGCTAGGGAACTGGAAAGATGGCTCAGAAGTTGAGTGTTTACTGTGGTTTTGGATTCCAGCACCCACAGGAGGTGGCTCACAGACACCTGTGACTTCAGATCAAAGGGATCTCTGCCCCCTCTGGGCTCCATGGGCACCCAAGTGTACATACACACAAAATAAGGGGCTGGAGAGCAGTCAAGGAGCACTTAGTCTTCCAGAGGACCAGAGTTTAGTCCTCAGTGCCATGTTGGGTGGCTTATAGGCTGCCTGTTATTTCAACTCATGGGCATCTTCTGGCTTCTGTGGGCACTTGCACTTATGTGGCATATACTCATATATACTACATAAAAAATTATAATGTATATAAATCTTTAAAAAGGAGATCTTGCTGGGCAATGGTGCGGCACTCCTTTAATCCCAGAACATGAGAGGCAGAGGCAGGCGGATCTCTGTGGATTTGAGGCCAGCCTGGTCTACAGAGTGAGTTCTGGGAGAGCCAGGGCTACACAGAGAAACCCTAGCTCAAAAAACCAAAATTAAAAAAAAAAAAAAAATTGGCTAGATGCCCATCTATATAGGATGTTCTAGAAAGATCGGTGAATCAGATAAAAATGCATTGGGTCATATGCTTAAATCTTAGCAGTTCTATACACAGAAGAATGAAATCTCACCTGTTTGTTTTCACTGGAGGCTTCGGCATTTGTGCTGGAAACTGAATGACTGTCTCCTTTGCCTATTGCTTGTATTTTTGTTGCTACAGTGTTTGACATACTTTTTTTTATGATACATGATTTAAACAGACTCCGCAAAGGCATAAATATCCTTATCTCAACTCCTGGGCGCCTCGTGGATCATATAAAATCCACGAAGAACATTCACTTTAGTCGAATACGGTGGCTGGTTGTGGATGAAGCAGACAGGTGAGTCTAGGAAGCAAGGAAGGTGGGAGAAAGGGGCTGTCCTACCATTTCAGGGACAATTCTGTAGCCCGATAGTGTCAGGTTTCCTCTTTGCCTGGGTTAAAGTCCTTCTCTTCCATCTTCAGGATATTGGATTTGGGTTTTGAGAAGGACATCACAGTGATTCTGAATGCTGTAAATGCTGAGTGTCAGAAACGGCAGAATGTCTTGCTGTCAGCGACACTCACAGAAGGTGAGTTGAGAAGGAGCTGTGGGCTGATGCCAGTAGGTGCCCTAAGCTCTTAGGGTAAGGGACAGCCTTTTCTGTCCTGCATACCCAGCACCTGGGACCTGGGAGGAGAGAAGTGGCTGCTGGTACACACACCAGGGTGCACCGGAGGCAAGCTGGCCACCATTTGGTTTGCTTGAGTGGGACACAAGCAGGTCCCACGGTGCAGGTGATGCTCTCAGCACTAGTTTTAGTGTGATCATCCTCCCTTTCCACTAAGAGTCCACATCCCCTAGCTCCTTTCTGACTCCTCTACACTTGCAAGAATTTCTTGGCTGTTTTGTAGATGGGAAACTAAGGCTTAGAAAACAGAACCACTTCACCTCTTTCACCCTGCATAAAGAGTCACTGTAGATTCGACCAGTGCTTTCATGGCCATGTGTGGTTTAGTTGATCTAGGCCACAGTATGATACACATAGTTAGGTGCCATTTGCGTGACTCTGAAAGTGTTACTAAGAAACATTAGTCTTTAGAGATAATCTTCAGGAAAGGGATTCTGTGATCAAATAAATTTGGGAATTGTTTCATTCCCTCGCTTTTTTGTAAAGGCCCTAAGAAGGCCTGCAGCCAAGAAGTCTATGGAAGTATTTTAATCTATGGTTTTGTGGTGACCAGAGAACCTTTAGTAAACTGAGGTACAGATATCTGATGAGGGCATAGAAAATGCTAGCCTAGATGGGCATTGGGCTATGGATTACCCCCACCAACATGGCAATAGGGTAGGTCAATGCTGGACTTTCCTGAAAGACCTGGGTGAGTGCTCTGGGATGCATACGTGACCACCTGTTTTGTCCTTTTACTGTGTCCAAGGTGTAACACGGCTAGCTGATATCAGTTTGCACAATCCAGTCAGTATCTCTGTCTTGGACAAAATCTGGGACCAGCCCAACCCGAAGGAAGTTGCTAATACCCAGCTGGACAGCTTTGCCATACCAGAGAGTCTTGACCAGCATGTGGTGCTGGTTCCCAGCAAGCTGCGCCTTGTCTTCCTTGCAGCCTTCATCCTGCAGAAGTGCAAGGTAGGACTGTGGCTTAGATCTGGCCACATCTAGGGAGTAGCACATACTTCATTTGGGCTGGGTAAACATAGCAGTGAGGTAAAGCCCCAAAACAAGAAAGGAAGGGGCTAACTTTGTTCTGAGACAGAGGGAGAGAGAGAGAGAGAGAGAGAGAGAGAGAGAGAGAGAGAGAGATATTATAAATTCCAAAACAGTGGTAAAGAACCCCGAGTTAAGGGCAGTGGGGATCATAGCATTACATTTGAATATACCTTGTTGGAGCTAACATTAGGGGAATGCCATAGATGACAGAGGCATGCAGGAGTGAGGTGTTTCTTGCAGACTCTTAGACCTGGTGTATTTGCTTACCAGATTCATGGGGTGACTCTGGGATATGAGATAGTAGCTATAGGAGTCACTGCACACTGGGACTGTGGCCGCGGGTTACTGCTGGTTGACAGGCCCGAAGTGTAAGGGACAGCTTACCCTAAAGGACATTTGTTTGTCTCTTTGAGGTTGGAGCTCTTGTCATTTTCCTTTCTGTTGTCTTTGTGGAGTGGAATATCAATGTTGGTATTTTTTAATAATTAAAGCCTGTGTCACTGTGTTTCCAAATCGGGGCCAGCATGTACATGGACCTTAGAGACGCGCTCATTTTAAGGGCATCTATGCTTATGGCCATGTACTTACTTTCCCCATGTGTTTGTGTAGTTTGAGAAGGACCAGAAGATGATTGTCTTTTTCTCAAGTTGTGAGCTGGTGGAGTTCCACTACAGCCTCTTCCTTCACACCCTGTCTTGCCGCTCAGGGGCCCCCACTTCAGAGCAGCTACCATCTGCTTCCTGGCCACTGAAATTCCTTCGGCTGCACGGCAACATGGAACAGGAGGTGAGCCCGCTTTTCCCCACCCCACATGCCATGAGCCTGGTAGATAGAGAGTCCTGATGCACTTGTGTCCTTTTCAGGCTCTCCCGGGCTAGGAAAAAAACAGCCAAGAATGAAGGAGCTGCTGGTAGATGCTGGTGAGGGAGCCTATTGTTCCTTGGGCTTCTGCTCTAGAGTTGCCTCTTCCACCTGAGAGAGCTCACAGGCCTGCTTGGCCTGCATCTACCTCAGCCAGCTGTTACGGCAACTGAGTAGCACTAAGTAGCTGGCACCAGGGAAGGCTTTTGCCTTTTTAGTACCCAGTGTGTAATTAGGGCTTGATGTCTTCAAATTAAGAGCATTAATGGAGCTAAATTGTGGATCCCATATGGTACTGCTGAGCGCGGCGGCTGTCATTGTCAACAAGACACAGCGCTGCACTCTGTGAGCACTTTGGGCTGGGAGAGGATACTGTACACCAAAAGGCTTTGGTCTCTCTTCTTCCCTGCAGAGTGAGCGTCCTGAAGAATGGTACCCTTCCCTACCTTTAGATGTTCTGTGGAAGCCTCCCTCCTAGGCTCTTAACAAGGCCATCCTTAGGCTTTGTTATGGGTGGAATACCTCCCTCCTAGATAGTGCAGAGGTTTGAAATAAGAGCCATCTTGTGATGAGGTTTTAGGCATCTTAGAAGATTGAAAGCTCAAAGTCAGGCTAACATAGACCAGTACACGTTGAAAGCTAAAAGAGACAGCTGAGGTCTGAGGTGATTGGAAACAGGTCTGTCCCCTCATGGCTTTGTTCTTTGGCTTTAACAGTTAAGGACATGGGGCCCAGGAAAGTGACCTTTCTGAAGGTCACTCATGGACACAGCTTCTTTGCCACTAGATAGATACATAGAAGTCACAGATTTGTTAGGCTCCTATTATGCTTTCAGTTCCCTGATTGGTTGAATCAGTTGGTTTTGTTCTTGAGTACCATGTGTGTGGTTTTGGTTTTGTTTTAAACTTGGTTTTTAATCCTCTGGGCACTTGCCAGTTCCAGAGCCATTCTGCAGGAGGTGGCTGAGGATGCTGAGTAGCTTATGGACCTGAAAGACTCACGGGGTTTCATTAGATCAGGAAAGATCCCTAGTTAAATGATCTCAGACTGTCCACCTCATGGGTGATATGGTAGTCCTGCATGGTGTGCCTTCTGGGACAGACTGCTTGTATTCTGGCTCTGGCTTTGTTACTGACTGTCTGACTTGAGATCAGAATTTAAACCCTCTGTACCTGTCTCCAACTCTCCAGAGTAAGGTGATGGTGGTGGTTCTTTCATAGGGTTGGTCTACCACTAGTTCATGCAGGTGAGCTTGGCACGTAGTGAGTACTTAGCAATCATTATCTGCTGATGGTCTTAATTTTCTTAGGGATAGTTCAATGTCCTCACAACTTAATAATTATTAGTATTCCATCTTCACAGACTCCCCGTGAGCTAAAAAGAACGCAGGAGGTAGTATCCCTGCCTCTTGTCCTGTATCTATCAGAGTTAAGTGTCTTTTTCTAGACTAATTCCAAACAGTCCCAGTTACATCTTCCTGGTGTATTATCTTGGACTCTCCCGAGACCTGAGAATGGCCTCCCTGGATGACTAGAGACATTGCTGTTTGGAGATGTGTTGTAGTTGTAGTGAAAACCCAAGAGTTTGTAGGCTTTTTTTCTTACCCCATATGTGAATGCATCTTGTCTAGTGTCTGAAACACTTCACACTTTTACTTTTCTAGTTTTGTTTCAGTGATTTGGTAGTAAATATTATAGAGACCATGCAGCAGATGTCCATCCCATCCAGCTTGGACCTTGCCACACCCTAACTGTGTCCTCCTCTAACTATGAGTCTGTCCTACAGGCAAGTTCCTTAACCTCTCCTACTTACATTGAGACTTGAAAAGCCCCTGCTGCTGTATCTCTTGATGGTGCCCTGGGCTTGCAGCCATGGGACAGAGTGCACGCCCACAGATGACCAGAACTGTTCACCATAGTGTAATAGGGCTGTGCCTGTGCCCACGGGGAGACATCCTTTCAGCATTGTTTGTAGATCTTGTATTTTATCTGTTGGTGGCAGGTATAGCTAGATCTCAGGTGTGTGCTGCACTGTGACTTGGAGACATACTTGGTTCATGCTGAAGCCTCAGGATTCACTCACCTTTGACCCCATGAATCTCTTTTTTAAAAATTAACTAAGGGAGCCATTGATGAGTACAGAAACTTATTTAAAAGAGGCTCACCTGATAGCAAAACACTGGTCATAAAAATAATGTTTCAGCCGATTGGCTGAATCCTATTTTACTGCATGAGATAGGTCTTTGGATTTTTATTGGCTGGGATGCTTACATTTGATTGGTTCATGATTAAAGCCTATTACAGTATAGTGAGGCATCGTTTTTTGTAAACCGCGTGTTCGGCTTTGTTGGGCACAGAAAGGGAGTATTGAGGTGTTACTGGTACTTACAGCATGCTTCAGTATGGGCTGATTGTATTTTCTTCCTTTAATATAAATACAAATTTTCTATAGTTAAAATGTATAGTTTTAGCTTATTATTATTATTATTATGGGTATTTTTGTTCTTTTGAGACAGGGTCTAACTCTGTAACCCAGGCTTGCCTAGTATTCAATTTGTATCCCAAACTGGCCTTTGAACTCGGAGAAGTCCTCCTGCCTTAATCTCCCTAGTACTGGGATTACAAGTGTGACTCAATCCTGGTTTAGTAATTTTATAAATTGTATGTGAGTCGTGTTCATGTAAGTGCAGGTGTAGCTAGACATGTGCTTGTGCAGGCCAGAGGTCACCCTGGGTCTGGTTCCCCAGGAGCCTTTCATCTGGATTAGTCTTTCATTGGAACCCAGGGCTCACCAGTTAAGCTATACTGTCTGGCCAGCAAATCCCAGGCATGTGCCTGTCTACCTCAGCAGTGTTGGGGTTGCAATTGCTTTGGACGTGGATATCAGGGACCAAGCCCAGGTCCTCCTGCGTGTAAAGGAGTACTACTGAGCTATCTCTCAGGCCAGTTTTTATGAATTTTTAATTTTAGAAGATTGGTCTGTAGAAAAAGTTGGTATTACTTTATTCCTCTAGAGCACAGCTTCCTGCACGTGCGTGTAAGGAGGCTGTGAAAACACAGCAACACTTAAAGGTTCCAGAGCATGAAGTCCCGCATGTGACCTCACTGCAGTGTTGGTTTTGAACATGTAGTGTGTGCACTGCACTGCACACGCTGTACAATGCGAATGAAAGCTGCCCGAAACCTCTGCTCGGACCGCTCTGTGGAACTGCAGTGGTGCTGTGTACACAAACTCTTATTCTCTTATAGGAACAATGGTTTAGTTATAGAAACCAAAGCCTTACCATATTTCCCTATCTTTGTTTTTATCATGTAAATACCAATCTTCAAAATACAGTCTTTAATGGTATTTTGTTAAAATGTTTGATTGTTTAAATTGTTGGTTTGGGTTTCACAGAAAATCATTAAGTGAATTTTGGCTTGAGATAGGACATAATTTTAAGTGTGTAGGTATATGGCAGTGTGAGGGGGAAGGGGCTGTTCCTCAGAAACTCTGTACCCTTTTAAAGGCAGGTCTCTGTCAGGGAGTCCCAAATATCTGCCTGTCTCTACTTCCTCAGCATTGGAATTACAAGTATGTGCTGCCATGCCCAGCTTTTGTTGAGGGTCGTGGTGTAGTTTTTTGGGGGCTGAAGTCAGGTCCTCAGGTTTGTAGGCAAGAAAACACTTTTGAACTAAGGCTGAACATGTGTTTGCCATGTTGTACTACGGGTTTCTGCAGCTGCTCTTCTCCACTCTGAAAACAACTGCTGATGCCTTTTGTTCTGTAATCAGGTACTCAGCCACGATGGAATTCTTAGCATATACGCAAGCACATCCAACTCATTAGTTAATGCACAGATTTGTTTGTCTTGAATAAATGGTGAAGTTGCATGCCTAGCAAAGAATTGGAGCTTTGTGGCTTTTATATATATATATATATATATATATATATATATATATATATATATATATATATATATATTTCTTTGCTTCTTTTGAGACAAGGTCACACTTTTTAGGTTTACTTTCAGTTCCAAAGCTGATTGGAACTCTGGTATGTTGACCAGGCTAGCCTCAGGCTTGTGGTGTTTCACCTGCCTCTGTCTGGGATTATATGTATTCTCTACCATGCCTGGCCCAAGAGATTTTTTAAATTAATTTTTTCAACTAAGCGTAGTGCATACACCTTTAGTGCCAGGACTCCTGAGGCAGAGGCAGACATGGGCTACAGAGTAAGTTCCAGGACAGCCAGGGCTACATAGTGAGACCCTGCCTCTAAATAAATCAATAAATATTTGTGTGGTACACTAGAAATGTTTGATTTGTGTGCCTCATTTATTCACATGGGATTGCATAATTTCTAGATAAAAACTGGACTTGATTGGGGAAAGTTTTAAGCTCTGCACTAATTTTTCTCTAAGAATATTTTAAGTGGGGGCCTTCTTTGCTGGTGCTGGTATTTTTGAATGAATGGCATTTAAGGCAGTGCCCCATTGATACTGGCTCATTGAAATAGGTGCTCACAAGGCTCTGCTGCTTTACTTGGTCTCAGAGATTCAGTCATACAAGTACATCTCATGAGATATAAAGAAACTGCTTCTTCTTTGCTGCTGAACTTCTCTGTGCTAGGGGAAAAATTAGAACAAAGGAAATTGGAAAAGTTATATGAATTTAACATTAGCATTTCTCTCAAGAGTTTATCTGGCTTTTCCTGTTCCTTCAGGAAAGAACCTCCGTGTTTCACGAGTTCTCACATTCTGGAACGGGAGTCCTGCTCTGCACGGTGAGTATCACTCCTCTCTCTGTCAGGGTCACTTCCCGTGACAACAGTGGCTGTGAGTCTTTTCTTGTTGTTATTTCAGACAGGGTCTTACTGTGTAGTCCTGGCTGGTATCACAGAGATCCTCCTGCCTCTGCCTTTACCCTGAGTCCTGGGAGTAAAGGTGTACACTACCATGCCGAAAGGTGGCTGTGACTTTTGATCCCTTGACAGTTTGTCTTGTGTTCAACCCCCTGGACAGCTGGCACACCTGGGCTTTGTGGTGGAGCTGGTTTCTTTGTACCTCTGGATTGCCACCTGGTTGTGCCACATGGTACTGGCTGCCACTGTTGAAAAGACTTGGCGATTTGCTCACTAATAGTGGCAGCTGTTAGTCTGAAAAGGTGTGAATTTATCAACCAAAAACTTGTAAATTACAGCTATTGGGAGTAGTTGGAGTTGAGAAAATCTTTGCACAACGAGGTGCCTGTGCTTGCTCACCTTCTTAAAGGAGAGTCAAGGCGCCTGACAGGGTCTCTCTGCTCTTGTCTGAGACTATCATTGTCCTAGGAGCTTCAGGCCAGTTCATTTGCCTCAGTCTGCAGTCCTGTCTTGTGGCCTCCAGCACATACCTCACCTTCATTCTTGCCAGCAGGAATGTTCTGGAGCTCTCAACACACTTCCTTGTTCGCTGTCCAGACCCATCTTTCAGTCCTCTGACTGTGTCATTCTGACCTCTGACCTGAGGCCTTTGTGCTCTTCTTTCTGCCTGGAGCAGACTAGCTGGCTCCCACTTACAGCTCTAGTTCTTTCGCATTAGGCCCTCTGATGTTCACACCTATTACAGGTGTCATTGTGCAGGATCCTAAGCTCCGTGGAGACAGGCTGTTTGTTCTCAGGTCTATCCCAGTGACAGCACAGCAGCAGCATAGTGGTCATGTGGTATTTATGCAAGCACTGGACGGGTAGAGACCCTCAGAGACTCATTGGTGGGGCTTGCCTGTTTTCAGACAGACAGGTCCAGTTTAATGTACTCGCTTATTTCAAAATAAGTTCTGAAAGGTGAACTTAAGTATTGTCTCTGTTGAAATACAAAATAGGAACTTGGTGATGGAATAAGAGTTAAGAGCCTTAAAATCCTGGATTTATCATGGGAAATGTTGAGACCTCCCACGTGTAAAAAATGTTTTCTAGATACTGGGGAACTGTCTTTACAAGAAAAAGTCCAGGTACCTGAAGTTGAGTGTTTTAGAGGCTCTACATGGAATAAAAGGTCATACTTTCTGAAGGTAAATCTTGCTGTTCTATATGGCTGCTATCTGCAGGCAGTTGATGTCAGCTAGCCATTGTCACAGGGCCTTCAGCTCCTGCCCACGATGAATGAAGCAAACTCTTGTCCACATCTAATTTACTTGGACCTCTTGGTCATAGTGGTTGGCATGTCTGGGTTGACTCCAGGATGCATACTGTGGTCTCAACTTTTCTCAGCTCTGCAGAGAACTAAGTGGGGCTTACCTCTACGCCATGATGTGGCTCAGGTTCCATGATGATAGGTGTGTGCCCTCTGTGTTCCTGCTGTTGCTGTTGTATTTGTTTGCTTTCTTTTAACACTGTGTCTGTGAGCCACACTGGGATAGAGGATGCTTGGGCTGGGGAGATCATGTCACTCTGCTTCCTTAGAAGTAGCCTGTTGATTGCCAGGCTATCTGAACACTCCTGGAGCCTCCATGGTATTAATGAGGAATGAGGGCCATGTCAGGACAAGGCAGATGGAGAACTGGTTTCTCTTGATAAAAGGAATCATGTTAATTGTTGTGTGGGATTTTCTCCTTTATACCAAGCCTTTTACTTTTTTAAATAATTTGTTTTTATTTTATGTTAATTGGTGTTTTGCCTGCATGTAAGTCTGTGTAACAGTGTCAAAAGACCTGGAACTAGAGTTACAGACAGTTGTGAGCTGCCTTATGGGTGTTGGGAATTGAACCCATGTCCTCTGGAAGAGCAGTCAGTGTTCTTAACTGCTAAGCAATATCTCCAGCCCCTTGAATCAGCCTTTGACAACTTGCTATAGAGACTTACAAAGACAAACAGATCACCCTAAAATCCTTTTAATAAGGCCAGAGAAGACTGGATGGATGTCTTTATGAAAATATGGAAGATTTAGTATAACTACACTGTGTTCTTACTGCTCCATTTTTTCTTCCTGCTAATACTAGTTACAGGTCTGTAGGGTGTGTGTTCACCGTAATTATACTCATCTTATGAGCTGGGACCTTTGTAGTTACATGCCGCTTTCCCAGGACCTGATACATACATGGCTGTTGTAAACTGGCTGTGTGGTAGTGTAGGACTGTGGTGAGGGCGTGGGTAGGCAGAACTAAAGGAGAGTTGGGACATTCTGTGTGCAAGAGAAGTCTTAACTGAAGAGGGATGGACTGGGTGTGGTGGTACACACCTCCCTGCAATCCCAGCATTAGAGAAATGGAAGCAGGTAAATCCAAACCTCAGCCTCAAAATACCCTGTCTCAAGGAAAACATAAGTGAGGCAAGAAGTAAGGATGAGAAAGGATACTGAAACTTAAAGGCCTGTTTTTCTAAATAGGATTGAGAAATCAAAGGTATTAGGCTCAGGACTTTGGTTTACCTACAGAGTTTTTTTCTGCTGGTTCTTTGTTACCACTTGTCCAGAGCCAAGGCAGGAATCTTTAGTTCCATGCAGGAAAATGCCACTGGGCACCACAAAATGAAATGCCAGAGTCCCCTCTGGTTGTAAGGTCAGCACCAGGACTTCTCCTGGTGTGTTTGCTCTCCTTGGTTGTCCCTGGCTGAATGAAATGCAGCACCGTGCTCAGAAAGGAGAGGCCTCCGGTGCACACCTAGGATGGGTGGACCTGGGTGTCCACCAGGTAGGTTTCCTGTTGAAGAGCTACATGTGGGTCACCGGTGCTGCCCCTCCCCGGCTCCGTGCTTTTGTTCTGTTTTCTCCAGCTGAAACACTGTTGTCTACAGCTCCTCAGTTCTCTCCTTCTGGGAAATCTGCTGTGCCAGCGGCCAGGAGACAAAGGAGCAAGGACTGTTCATGTCCCCAGACTGGGTTCAGTGCCCCGCATGAAGGTGGCTCTTACACTTCTCTGGTTGTGCTTTTCAGAGGAAGTTTCTCCTTAACACTGTTTCTGCACTGCTAATGGAAGGATCGTTTGGAGATTGTTTGCTGTTTACTCAGTCACGCTAACTCATGTTGCCAGTTTTTTGGCGGCTCCAGCCAAGATCTCTCGCCTCTGACAGCTTCTGCACTCTCCCCTTCCTCCTCTTATTACGCAGCCCAATCTGTCACCCGGACAACGGGGGCCTGTACCCTGCTGATGGCTTTCCACACATGGCAATAATGACTTTTGGCAGGCCAGGAAGGCGTCAGAGGCGAGTTTGTGCGTCCCTTCTCAGAGAGATGGCAGGCCCCCTCTCCCTGTTAGTAAAAGCACTTTGTGAGGTTCTGGGTAAATAAATGAGTCATTTTAATCCAACTGACAGGCTGGCACCTGAGCAAGCTGCCTTCCATCTGTACTCCTGGGTCTCATGGAGGCCGCCAGTTGTCAAGCCCAGGGCCTTCAAGGCTTCATTGGTGAATGTCTTTCAGAGCTGACTTTAGTGATTCTTTTGCCCTAATTAGGTTAAAAGAATAAAATGAGGCTGTGATCAGGCTTAAGCTTTGAGAGCTGAGAGGACAGAACTGAAACCTTTCCAGCAAGTCAATTTCCTGTTGATCTGGTGTGAGTAGCTAACACCTTCCTAGAAGACGGGGCCATTGTTGGCCTGTCTTGTGCTTGCTCAGGGCGGAGTAGGATGTGGTGAGGGAGAGTGGAGAAGTGTTAGAGTTGCCACTGTTTTCTTCATTATGAAGCAGCACACTTGGGTTGCACTTGTTAGGATGGTTCCTGTATATACTGTCTCATTTGTCCTTCATTACCAAGGCAGTTCTCAGCCTCAGTACAGGTAGGTGGCTTGGTGCAGCGGGCTGACCGGCTGGCTCCGGTCCTCCCTGCTGTGGACCAGGTCTGACTCCTTCCCTTAGCCTCGGTGCTCGGGAGGGGGATGCAGAAAGTGTCTGGATTAAACCTGGTGAGAGTGCTTGGCTGTTAGCAAGCTCTACACGATGAGGAAATGGCAGACTCCAACACGGGGGCACATGCCTGCATCCTAGCTTGAGAGGCTGAGATGGGAGGAATGGAACTCACATCAGCCAGGGCTCCCTAGCAGGACTGTCAGAGAGGGAAACTGGGGTGGGGTGGGGGACTGGGTGGAGCAGCAAGGCTGCTTGTGCCCTTCAGCTCTCATTGTTTCAGCTGGAGAGCTCACCCAAGGCCTCAGGCATCCGGCAAGTGCCACACCACTAAGCTGCATCTTCAGCCCTATTGTAGAATTTAATCTCTTTCCTGGGTGAATTTACTAAGCTTGCTGTGTGGGGTGGAGCTTGTGACAGCTAGCCATGGCTTCTCCAGGCCCGATTTCATCTAGATGCTGCTGTTGTTTTCTGTGTCTATTCTAGTAGAACATTAAGCTTTTCACAAAGCCTGTCTGAAAAGCTCAGGTAGCCCCAATCCTGTCTTGCAGCAGAGTGCTGAGTGCTAATCATGTCTCACCAAGAGTTTAGCAAACTGAAGAACCATCCGTTTCCTCAGTGTTGGCAATGGTTAGTGCTAAGAGCTTCTTCTGCTCCCTCGTGCTTAAAGAACATTCTAGATTGCATTCTGACACATATTCTAGATTGTGAGTTCCGCAGCACTAGCTTCAGGCTCTCAGAGGATGCTGAGCTGACAGTATTAACTTCCACATCCACACTTAAGAGTGCAGCTGGGTCCTGCTCAGACATCTTGTTAGGCTACCCTTGCTTCTTACGGAAACTTAGCATAGACTTGTTTAAAAAGTAGTTTGTCCAAATTCTTATTTTGGTTGTTTTGATTTGCTTCTTTTTTGAAACAATGTTTCATTGTGTAGCCCTGGGTGACCTGGAACTTTCTGTTTAGACCAGGCTGGCCTCAAACTCACAGAGATCTGCTTGCCTCTGCCTCTTGAGTGCTGGGATTAAAGACCTATTATGGCAACACACTTGGCAAAATCCTTGCTTTTAAAGAGTGGAAGGGAAAGCTGTTTTTAATGCAGACATTCTCAGCCCTGAAATTAAGGAGAGCATGGTGGGCTTAGAAAGTCATCCTTTACATCATCAAAGTAACAGTTAATACAGACAAGAAGTATCCATAGAATCAAGAACCTTGGGTGAAATGTTACAAGGAAGGATACTCTCATGACTTATGTCCCTTCTCAGTGGAGAGAGCTGGTGGACACCAGTTACCTCACTGATTAAACACAGCATTTCCCATGTCAGCCAGCAGGCCTTTCCCTATGTCATGGAGCCGTGAGTAGTCCACATTGCCCCAAAGGTACCATTCTGCCAGAATGCCTGCCTGAACCCTACCATGTGGAAGCAAGTAGGTATACCTGGAGTGTGGAATGTTTCTTTGGACAGCATCAATAAAATAAACAAAGAGCTGGAGAGATGGTTCAACAGTTAGGAGCACTGGCTGCTCTTACAGAGGACCTAGGTTTGGTTCCTAGCACCCACATCAATAGTTGTAGCTCCAGTTCCAGGAGAGATTCTGCACCCTCTTCTGGTCTCCACTACTCTTGTATGCACATGGTACACATAAACATACATTCAGGCCCAGACACATACACATTAAAAAAAAATGTAAAACCCTAAAGTCTATGGAAAGCAGGAGCACTGTGTCTTAGTCAATGTACTATTGCTGTGAAGGGACACCATGATTATGGCAACTCTTATAAAGAAAAATATTTAATTGGGGCTTGCTTACAGGTTCAGATGTTTAGTCCATTATCCTCATGGCAGGAAGCATGGAGGCGTGCAGGCAGACATGGTGCTTGAGAAATAGCTGAGAGTTCTATGTCTGGATCAGTAGGCAGAAGGAAGAGAGAGAGCCCCTGGGCCCTGCTGGAGCTTCTGAACTTCAAGGCCCACTCCCACCCCCAGTGACACTTCCTCCAGCAAGGCTGTACCTCCAGTAATGCCACTCTCTCTGAGTCTGTGGGGGCTATTTTCATTCAGACCACCATTGGTACCATTCCAGATTAAGGAAATCTAGAGCTCTTAAGCAAGGATTGTGTTCATTGCTCACTTCTGGACTGGAAATAAAAGCATCCATAGGAGTCATCTCAGAGTGGAGACATTGGATACTGTTGGCTGATGAGAAAATGATGTGTCTCTGCCTCCTTCAGAGTTGTTCATGGTGGTTAGTAGAAGAGCACTCTACTTAGGAGCCCTTGCTGAAATAGTGAAGACTGAGCGGTCACCACATTTGCAGATAGCTTTAGCCAGTTACAGTGTGTGTGCGCGCGTATGTGTGCGTCTCCTGTGTCTGTGTGCTCAGATGGAAGGAAGGAAGAAGCAGATGTGTTAGCAGTTGATGGGTTAGAGAAAAGATAGACAAACAACTCACTCTTCTGTAGGTTTAAATTAAAGATTTCTGTATCAAGATTTTGGGGTAAATGATAACACCTATTGTTTAAAACAAAGCAAACACCATAGGAAAATACCAAGAGAAAAGTAAGAACCACCTCGAATTTCTCCATCCAGAGAAGTTACTTTTTGTTGTGTGAGACAAGATCTCACCATGTGGCCCTGGCTGGCCTAGAACCTGCTATGTCCATGAGGTTGGCTCAGTGTCACACTCTTGCCTCTGAACACGGGGATTATGGAATTTAAAGGTGTGAACCACCACATGCAGCTATTGGCATTTTGAGCCTCCTTTAGGTTATTCATCCATCTAGTTAATGATTTTTGTTTTTATTATTTCTCACTGACACCCCCACCCTTGAATTTATTTTATTTATTTATTTATTTATTTATTTATTTATTTATTTATTTTTTGGGCTATGGAAATCAGATCAATGTTTTTTAATTTCTTTTCCTGTATGTTTTCGAGTGTGGGCATGACTGTGCCTGGGTGTGGGGGGGGATTAGAGTACAACTTCAGTCGGCGTTCTACCTTATTTGAGACAATTCTCTTTGTTGTTTTCCACTGTGTATGCCAGACTGACCTGCCCATGAGCTTCCAAAGATTTTCCTGTCTGCATTAACCAGTCCCACTGCAATCACTGGGCTTCGAGACGTGCACTGCTGTGCTGGTTTTGCGTGGGTTCTGGGCATTCGAACTCTGATCCTTGTGTTTGCCCACTGAGCCGTCTCTTCGGCTTTTGTTTTTCATGATCTGGTTCGAAAGTGCATCTTTTTGGAATGGGTGAGCATGCTCCCTGTCCCCCATATTCCTGCAAGTTGATGATTGGTTCTAGACACTTGATTAGATCTGGCTCTAGGCTTTAGTCTTTGACAAGAATTAATGGTTAAGCTACACTGATTCATTCCTGCTGCATAAGAACTGATCACCTTCCTTCACAGCAGACACTTGAGTGTCCACTTTGTGTGTTTGGCCCATCTTCCTCCAGGTCTCCTCTTTCCCCTAAAGGTAACTATTTTTCTAAATGTGGAACACTTTCCTCCTTGATTTTTTTTTTTTTTTAAAAAACAAGAATGCTTGTGTTTCTTACACAAAAGCATATTACACATATACAAAGGTCTCTTAGGAACTCTTCAAATTAGTAGAATTTCTTGTCTTTAATCTTCTGTTCAGTCTGTTTCTTCATAGACAGTGCTGAATGAATAGTCTCTGCTTACCTGGTATTGTCTTTTGCCAGGATCTCTGTAGAAGTGAGGCTGCTTTCCAGGGTAACAAGTGTAGATGTGTTTTGTAAGTATTACCGGGCTCTCTGCAGTGAGAGAGTGTACGGTTCTGCATTCCCACCTTAGCGCCTGAGTTATTTATCATCTCTTGCATGGTAGAATGTACTATTGGCAATGAGGCAATAAGGCCTTGCAAAAGTGAAGCAGGCCTACATCTGAAGGTTATACCTCCCCCACATAGTTGTATCCTAGGCTTCAAACCTTGTTTGTTTTTTTCTCTGACAAATGGAGGTAATAGCTGTTTTTAAGATTGGTTAAGGCAATTTGGTGAGGTGGCTCAGCAGGTAAAGGAACTTGCCATCAAGCCTGACAACATGATTTTAGTTCTAGAAACCATGTAGTATGAGAGAACCAATACTACAGGCTGTCTTCTGACCTCCACATATGCAGTGACATACACCCTCTCCTCCAATAAATAAAATTAATATTTTTAATTAAAGATTAATTGAAGCATTATGGGTAAGATGCTAAGTTCCACTTGGTGTCTTGAATGCTAGTGGACCCTTGCTGTGGCTGCTGGACTTGAATGTGAAAGCTAAGTGCACATTACTGCTGCAGACTGGGCGGTTCCATGTAGTCTCTGCCAGAATGGCAGAAGGATTGAGAGAGCTGAGAACTTTGGCTCTTTGGGTGGTGACCAGTTGAAAGGGAAAAAAAATCTCCATCCCTTTTATGACTTCTCAGCTGTCCAGTCAAGTCTTTGAAGTGATGGGCAGGTTTGGAGTGTATCCTAATCTTAACTCCCAGAAGTGACTGCAAACTTCTTAATCCTTCCTGCTCTAAACCCAACAGGCAGTGTCCTCAGTAAACACTGCAGCTCACCCCTTTCACAGATGGGGCCTTGAGAGGTGTTTCAGAAGCATGCCAGCGGGCTGCGTGACTGTTGTTCCTCGGCATTACTAGTAGTGTAGGGCTGAGATAATGATCCGTGGATCCATTTATCCTAAATGGCTTTTTCCTTTATTTGAGGGATGACTGTTTATTTGAAACATGGTCTCCCACAGCCCAGGCTCACATTTACTGTGTAGCTGAAGATGACCTTCAATTCCTGATCCTCCTCCCTTCAATCTCCCAAGTGTTGGGATTACAGGAATGTGCCGTCAAAGCCATATAGAATTTCAGAATTTTTACATGGTACATTGACAGCTGTGATTTAAGGCCTTGGGCTGACCTGTACATTGTGTTATGGGTTATGTAAGTTGTCTAACTCACCCCAGGTCGGAATTTTTTTATATTTATTTATTGAGCATAGGTGGGTTGAGTGGCCTGGTACATGTGTGGAAGTCAGAGGGCAACATGTGGGAATTGGTCCTCTCCTCTACCATGTAGGTTTTAAGGATCAAATTCAGGTTGTCAAGCTTGGTGGCAGGGGCTTTTACCCTCTGAGCTATCTTGCTGGCCCCTGATTCAGAATTTTTGATGATAGCTAGATTTCAATGGGCCCTTAAGCCACCTGAAGTTGTATTCAAAATCGTATGTGCGTGCATGTGTGCCTCTGCATGTTAGCATGCCATTTTGTGTGTGTGTGTGTGTGTGTGTGTGTGTGTGTGTGTGTGTGTGTGTGTGTGTACATCTTCAGAATTTGTATTATCAAGTATCCTAAGTTCAGAAATTCAAAAAGGCATGGTAACACATTGGTAAGACCTTAACTTCAAGGCCAGCCTGGGCTACAAGGTTCTAGGGCCATAGAGCAGTAAATCTGTCTCCAAAAACAAAGGGGTGGGGTGGGTAGAGAAACTCAGTTTTAGACCATAAACTATATTCTCTCTTTTTTTTTTTTTAAGGATGTTGCAGCTCGAGGCTTAGATCTCCCACAAGTCACCTGGATTGTTCAGGTAATCTTCTAGTCATTGAGGTGTGAGTGTAGGAGCATGAGAAGATGCATTGAATGATCATTATTACCCTCTTGGGTGTTGCCCTGGTAACCAGGCAGCAGCCAGCCCTATCTGTACATTTCTGACATCTTTCCTTAGCCCAGCCCCTCTGCAGCACTGCAGCAGAACAGCCAGGCTGGCGTTCTCAGGAGAGGGTGGCGACTCTCCTGCTTCCAGACTAATTCATGGAACAAACCCAGGTTTCCAGAGTCTGAACATAACAGGAGTTACTCAGGCCCTCGGGAGGCTTCGTTGTGTCCCGAGGAGATGGCTCAGCTGTCCTGAGAGCTGTGTCCATGTACATTGACCTGCAGGGAGCAATTAAGGTCCTGACAGCATCTTACACACACCTCCTGCCTTAGACGTTTTGCCAGAGGGTACAGGTGTTAGTGCTGTGGTCTAGTGGGTTTCATTTTGTTTTGTTGCTTTTTTTTCTTTTCATTAGTCTGCAGATTGGTATTTTTAAGCCTGTCTGTCGGGGCCAGGGGACATGTGCCCTGTTTACATGACTCATGGTTTATTCACATTTTATGGCTTGTCTTAGACTGTGAAACCTGATCTGCTCGACATAAGTTATCATGGAAGCATTTTGTCTCTTTTCATGCTGGCCACAGAACCAATGCGAGAAGGGTAGACGGGTGATTTTAGTGTGCTGGGGGCAGACTCTGATTTATTATGGGAAGCCTGTACTGTGACTGTTGACAAGTTTAAAATGGCTGGTCTTTCATGTAGTTACCTTAGTCTGCTGATCTTCCATTTGTGTAGCAGCAAAGAAAGAAAAGAAGGAAGAGCAATCATTTAGCTCTGAAGATAGCAGAGTTATTGCCAGAGGTAGCAGGATGCCTGCCAGGGTGTTCTCCTGAATGGGGACTGCTCTTCCCTTGAGTCAGGAACGCGCTCCCCATAGCAGAAGCCTGCCCTGTCTGATCTGGACTGTTTACTTCCCCACTCGACTGGGACGGAGTGGAGTTGCAGCAAGATGGTTGGCCTGCCCCTGGGGCCAGCAGCAGAGATGGACTCTGCCAGCACAGTGGTTGGTGCCCTTCATCCTTACGCCTCTTGTCCGCTATTGCCGCTTCCCAGCTGCTATGTCTACCAAGGAAGTAGGCCAAGGTCATGTGGTCATCCTGGAGAAATTTACCCCACCTGCTTACATTTCACCTTGCAGTCACTTCAGTGAAAAGATGCAAATAGGAAAATGAAGAGACCTGTAGAGCAGTACATTTAAAAAGGAGACATTGGATAAGACGTGTCTTATTCATCTGAAACTTGGCCACTGTTCACATTTTTACATCAGAGCCTTAGTTCAGTGAAGCCAGGGGCTTCAGGGTTGAATGATGGTTTCCGATTGTGTTAGAGTAGCCGTAGCCAGGGTACCTGGAGGCAGGTGAGGGGTATTGCTCTTCCAATTAGTGGCAGTCCCTTGATCTATGAACACCTTCCTTTGTGTTGTCCTTTTTAGTACAGTGCTCCATCTTCACCTGCAGAATACATTCACCGGATTGGAAGAACTGCCCGGATTGGCTGTCATGGGAGCAGCTTGCTCATTTTGGCTCCTTCAGAGGCAGAATATGTCAACTCGTTGGCTTCTCACAAAATCAAGTGAGTCAGAAACCTGAACGGGGTTTCGCTGATCTCATGTAATTAACTTTCTGTCACTTTTTGAGTGGATAGGCCTTGTAAGCTGCTGAAGAGCCATTAACCCTTGTGATCCCTAAATGAGTTCCAAAATAGCCAGTGGCAAAAACTGAAACCCTCAGTACCATCCTCACCTGGCAGTTCCCACTGCAGTGCCAGTAAGTTACAGGGTGGCCTGTGCCCCAGATTTTTCAGCTCTTCGTAGGAGGCAGGCCCTTAGAGCCACCTCCCGGAGGCCTCTTCATGCTCTTTTTACCCAGTGCTTAGCATCTCACAGCTTCAGTGCTGATTTGTCTTTAAAGAAATAATAGTGATTTGCTCAGCACACAGTTTTCTCCCTTCATGAAGGAAAGGGATCCTCAGAGCAGTCAGTCAGAACAAGGCTACTGACTGTGTATCTGCAGCCCCCTTCTTGTGTGTGGTGGTGTCAGTTACTGGCCTCATGTCCTTGTGGGAAGCTCACACGGAAATGATTGGCCTGGGCCACTTAAGGGACTTGTCTGGCTTTCTGTAAGTTCTCTGACACCTGAAGTCACAGGTTCTAACAGTGAGCTTGTAAAGGCATGAGGGGTCTGACACAGATCTACTTTTAAGAATTTCTTCTACTCAAACATGACAGGGTGATGGATACAAGTCTATTTGGAAGCCCTGGAAGAGCCATGTGTCTGCCCAAGGTGGTGGTGTGATGCATGCCAAGCCCAGAAGCCTCACTGGCTGCTCAGGTGCTGTGAGAACTGATGCTGTGCTGTGTGCGTGTCTGTGTGTCTCTGTGGGCTGCGGCATGTGGTGATTCTTGTCTTTTCCTCTTTGACCAGTCATACATTTTATGTAAAACTGAAACTCCAAGGACACTCTCTACCCCTGTACAAAGTTGTAAACACTGCTGGGGACCTGGTCCAAGGATGCCGGTGGGACTGACTGCAGACTTGCAGAGCTGTGTATGGCTGTCCTACCAACTCTTGCCACATTTCCCAGCAGGCAGGACTCTGTCTAGTGAGATTTCTCAGAACTTTCAAGAGTGTTAGTATGGGCATTTGTGGGCTGAGACAGTGCACCAGCTCTGTTGTGTACAAGTGGGCACCTGTTCCTGGTGGTCATTCAAATGGGCCAAAATTAAGATAGCTCAGGCTTTCCTTCTGTTTGCCTTATTCCTCATCTTAATAGTCTGTCAAGTGAAAGAGTGGTTTTGTTCCATGGAGGTGCACATATTTGATCTCACTTAGGAGAGGTCCTATGTTGTTCAGGCAGTTAATCTCTCCTTTTGGTTATGTCTCTGCCTGGATTCAGAGACCTCCAGTCTGGGGCTTCTTAGTGCTCCTTGTGGTCCTCAGCATCTGGGCTGCCTTTTTGCTAGGCTGGTTCTGTGGGACAGTGACTAACTCAAATTGGAATTGTTAGTGAGTCAAATTATTTTAAAGATGTAGTAATTACCGTCCTCTTGAGTGTCAGCACTTCTGTGCTGTTTACATGAAAGAAGAGACACAGGGACTGGAGAGATGGCTCAGAGGTTAAGAGCACTGACTGCTCTTCCAGAGGTCCTGAGTTCAATTCCCAGCAACCACATGGTGGCTCACAACCATCTGTAATGAGATCTGGTGCCCTCTTCTGGCCTGCAGTCATACATGCTGTATACATAATAAATAAATAAATCTTAAAAAAAAAAAAAAAAAGAAAGAAAGAAAGAAAGAAGAGACACAGGGAGGCCAGGCTTTGACAAGAGTGTTGAGAAAGATGATAGAGGGAAGGACCAGAAGGAAAGGAGCTGAGCCCTTTGGGAGTGACTGCAGAGTAATATAAAAACAGTCACAAAGGATGAGGGTCCCTCCTTGCTGCCACCTGCCTCATGGCTAGACATAATCATTCTAGATAACTACTGGACCCTGGATTACTAGGGAGCAGCAGGCATCACAGTTCTGTTGATATCTGTATACAGGCTATTGCTTTGACTTAATGTAAACTAAAATGAACTCTGATAAGAAAGAGTAAATTGTAAGAGCTGGAGTTGGAGCTCAGTTGGTAGAGTGCTTGCTACTAATAAGCACGAATCAGTCCCTGAGCTTCATAACCAAGTAGTGGTATAGACCTGCAATATACTTGGGGGGATCAGAAGTTCAAGGTCATCAGCCACTTAGTGTAAGGCCAGCCTGGGTTTATATAACATAACACACTGTCTCCAAGGGAGGGGGACTTGAATTTTTTATTTTTTTATTTTTATTTTTTTAAGAAAAATCACATTATATGCAATAGAAAGAAATAGCCCAGGACATTTCTGAAATTTAAAGGGCACATTAATCATTAAAAAGGAGGCATTAGAGGAGGGGGTATGTGGAGGGGTTCGTGCTTGAGAACACAAAGCTAGGCAGTAGGGTGCTGGGTAGCTGCTAAATTGCCACCTGCCTTGTGTGGGGGCTGCAGAGCTCTTCTCACAATTCACTCTAGCATACTGGGCAAGAGACAGGTGCCCTGGGTTGTTGCCACCTCCATCTGAGTGCTCAGACTTTGTTTTCCTGTCCTTTCCACTTATTTATGGTGCTAGTTCCTTTCTGCTTAAGTATGTTGCTAAGAAAGTCATTGCTGGTTTATTAAAATGTAAAGGCTTCAGCAGAACATGTGTGTCTTAGATCAAGCAGATGACGTTTTGCTGGATGTATTTATTCCTGTCTTCTCCTTGTCCATAGGACTGAAATAATCATGATAGATCTACTTTGTTCTTCAGAAGCAGGTTAGGAGGAAGTCTTTTAAACTTGGTGGCTACAGTTGCCTTTTATGGCTGGACTGGCTTTGTGGCTGTTTTATCACTTTTTGTTTGTTTTAGGTTTTGGGGGGATGGTGGTTCAAGACAGAGTTTCTCTGACTGTCTTGGGACTCACTCTGTAGAATAGGCTGGCCTGGAACTCAGAGATCACCTGCATCTGCCTCCTGAGTGCTGGGATTAAAGGTGTGCATCAACACTGCCCTGCCATTTATCACATATTTTTCTTCTCTCTCTCTCTCTCTCTCTCTCTCTCTCTCTCTCTCTCTCTCTCTCTCT